ATGGCTTCTCTTGCTGAATGCCTGATTCCAGATGTGAAGTGCAGACCCCTGCTGGTTCCAGGATGTTCCAGCAATCGTGCTGTACAATCTCATATGGCAGCAGCCACTTCCGCGTTTTCTTGAGAGACCCCATGCGGGACACCTTGTCCATGACTTCTGACTGCCAACAGCTCGCTTTCGCCTACTAGTATCGAGGCCTTGTCAGCCTACTACGACATTCTGGACTTGTTGCCTGAAGGCGCAGATTAAATCTTTGTTTGGAAAGGTTTTGTCAGATTCGGAGCATGTGCATAATTGTACATATCAAGATGTCAGAGTTGTTGGCTGCTGCACGCTGTCCTGCAACATGCTTGAACCACCACTCTTTTTGCATTGTTGGCATGCACTCGACGTGCTCTTGTCTTCATGCGTAATCGTCATTAGAAACAGGGTTTTGCTACACACCATTCAAATGTTGCTTCTCGGCTCAAACTCTGTGCAACCCATGTCTTCTGCAGCTTATAATTGAGATGCCTTAGGCACATGCATGTCTACAGTGATGAGGCTTGGCTTCATAGCTTTTATGTTTTCAGTTGCTTAGATAGGCGAAAGACGCGTGCCACCAATCCGATTCAGAGAGCTTCTTGGTCTGGGAGGACGTTGCCGGCATCATGCCTAGCAGGCACATAGGCTGGAAGTCCCAATGAAAATTCCCGAGTAGCTTGTGCTTCTCGGCTGTTTGACTTTGCTTAGCCCAGGATTCAGGCGCCAACGCTGTGTAGCCAGCTCAATGTCAAGCTCCTCTCCGCAATCCTGAAGTTTGCCTTGGGAGTCCTTGTGCTGATACCCCTGGTGCTTCTGGAATCTTGGATATGATTGTCTGGAGGCTCCAAAGCCACGCATGTCTCCGATTCAGCGTTTCCATCTACTGTTCCCGCGCCTACAACAACTATGAGATATGAAAGAGACCCTGATCTTGCGGCAGTTTTGTCATGTAACGTGATTGTTTCATGCGACCCAATGAAGGATTAACGCGCGCAAGTCGCAAAGGAACGAGAAAAAGTGGTAGTACTATGGCCTCTCCATCCTGGCAAAATAATGGAGGAACATACCTTCAAGCTCTTCTTCTCGTGGGAGCTTACAAGCTATACATAACCTTGTGCAACATCAGAAGACGGCAGAAGATGTCAAGCAAAAGACAATACTAGGTTCCCGGATTGACCTGCTTTTGTCCATGATTGTCACTTTCCTTCAGTGACTTCAGTCTTCATCCTGAAAACGAAGCTGAAGCCCCTAAACCCCTAAACCCTAAACCAAACCGTAAATAGTAGTTTCCATTTGATTTTCCATTATCCCAATGTAACCCCGATATAACCCTAAGTGTACACCAATGGGTCCAGCTTCCCTAAATCAGAAGCCCAGGAGCTCCTAAACCCTAAATCCTAAACCCAGGAGCTCCTAGCCTATGGCCTGGTGTTCCTGGTCGTGGCTGTCGCGCTCTTCTTCTGGCCGCCGGCTGCAGCGAGCGCCGAGAAGGAGGGGGCTCTGATCTTGAGGGTACCCACATAATTGGGTAATATAGGGGCATATAGGGGTAACATAGGGATAATGTATAACAAAATGGAAACTACTATAATCAGGATAGATAGGAATAGGTAAAATTCCAGTACGTGATTTGGTGAGTGTAGATCAACTTCCTTACGAACATGTGTGATTGAACGCTGTATCTTCAGATTTTGGAGGTTTTCATACTCAAGGCTCCAGTTTGGGGGAGTAGAGAGTGGAGAGAGACCCTCAATTTGCCACACACCCATATCAACATATATATATATATACACACATGTATGGTGGCCCCCCCCCTCCCATGTACCTACCTTTTGTTGCTTTCCTTTAGGTATCTGGTCTGAATCAGTAAAGATCATTGGGCCTTGTCCTTATTTATGTGAATTCTAATAGATGGTATTATGATCTTATAAGGGCAGAAATTCAAGCTCGCTCTGAGAAAGAAAAGATTTATACAACCAAAAAACACAATTGATTCCTAAGCCCTGTATCTGAGACCATTGTGAAAACCAATAAAAACCATGAAAAA